CGAGTAAGTCATATATAAATTCTTAGAAGTTTAAAATATAATCAGTAATAATATTACCTCAGCCAGATTAGTTGACCACTCGATGGAGTGGCAGCTATTGAAATTTTTAAAATTCAGCCAATTTATTTATGTGTGTGTATGACTGTGTGTGAGTATGTTTACTGTGTGAGTGAGTTTAAACATAAGCACAATAGCTCATAGAATTTTGTAAATTCTGATTGCTGTTTAATAAAGTATAAAAAAAAAGTAATAATATTTATATTTCAACTTATCGTAGAGTAAGTTATTGTAATCGTCGATAAATCGAAAATGAACAATTTTGCATATCTTCACGTTTTGAAGATTTTTGAACATTTTTGGCATACCTTCGAAAAAATGGTGTGTGTGTATGGATATAATTTTTTGTCCACAATTTTGGGTGCACAGATCAATCGATTTGAATGATTCAAAAACATTCGATTTTTATTGATAGGGAGATATGCTGTTTAGTTTTTGGCAAAGGCGGGTCCAGGCGTGTCGGAGATAAGGTGCAAAGAGTGCAGAAAATAAAAATCGAATTTTTGTGAGCATCCGCTTCGAATGATCAAAAAAAAACATTCAATTCGTAATTTGGGGAGAAGTGGCGTTTAGTTTTTCGCAAAGGCAGATCCAGCTGTTTTAGAGATACAGAGCTAAATGTGCAAAAAAGGCAGTTTTTGAGAGAACGAAGCATCCGATTTTAATGTTTTTTGGATCTCTCGATTTCCATTTTTTGCACACTTTGCTTCTCATATCTCCGAAACGGCTGGACCGACTTTTGCCAAAAACTAATCAGCATGTCTCCTTATCAATAAGAATCGATTGTTTTTTAAATAATTCAAATCGGTTGTTTCGTGCGCTTGAAGTCGCCGACGAAAAATTGTATCCACACACACATACACACACACATCCATTTTCTCTAAGGTATGCAAAAATATTCCTAAACCTCTGAAACGTAAAGATATTAAAAAAATTTCAGTTTCGATTTTTTGCGATTACTATAACTTACGCTACAAGAAATCAAAATTTTTCAAAATATTCAAAGTATAAACGCAAAAAAAGAAAATGAAATGTTTTATATATCTTCACATTTCAAAGGTTTCTGAAATTTTGGCATACCTTAGAAAAATGGATGTATTTGTGTATGGTTGTGTGCGGATACAAATTTTTGTCGACGATTTCGGGAACGGATATAGCGATTTGAATAATTTAAAAAATATTCGATTTGTATTGATAAGGAGACGTGCTAATCAGTTTTTGGCGAAGGCAGGTCTTGCCGTTCCCGAAGATACGGGACAAAAAGCGCCAAAAACGGTAACTGAATTTTTAGGAGAACGGAGCGTCCGATTTTAATAATTCAAAAAACATTTTACTTGTATTCACAAGAAGAAGAATTTTGGGAAGGCAGGTCCAGCGGTTATGGACTCTCAATAACAAGTTAAAAAATGCCATTCGGCGATCAAAAATGTTTATTGAACATATGTACATCAAATTATCAGATATTTTATAGAGATTTTAATAATGGGTACACATTATGTTTATTATTTTTGGGTTCCGTACCAAGATTTTTAATTGCGGTACGGGAAGTTCCAACAATTTGCCTTAAGGCACGATGCTATGCACCCCACTAGTTTAAAGTTCTAAACAAAAATGAATATTTTGAAAAAATTCAATTTTTGGAACGGGAAGGAAGTACCATTATTTTTCTTAAGGCACGATGTCATACACCACTAGTTACAATAAATATTTTAGCAACGTTTATCGACATTTAAAATTATTTTCAACGTTGCAATACAAGTGGCGCCACTGTGCCA